GAGCAGGCAGTAAGGAGAGACCTATGCAGTGAAGACAGGCATGAGTCTACGCAGACGAAAATTTTCCGGCGTTATTCCACATTAGTTGACCCAAAAACGAAAGTCGTGAATTACGCTAAAACTTCGTCTAGGAAGGTTATTTGGTACGCTGAACACGAATATGATGTTTATTTCGTGCAACAGCGCCATCCGGTGGAGTTACGGTAGGATTACGGTAGGGAATCACGGATTTGCCGAAAACTTGGCCCAGAGGGGATATTCAGACCGCTGATGCTGAATATCACATTGGTTTTGTACCGTAACGTCATTTTCTCGGGTTACGGTGGGTGTATGGTAGGGGGTCAAAATCTCAAAATCTGCTCTAACTTCGCACAGAGGGGTTATTCGACATGCTGAACCCGTTTCAGGCAGAACTATACTTTACACTTGTCACCGTGTACCTACCGTAACCCGAGAAAATGATAATACAGCTCAAAGACAATGTGATATTTGGCATCAGCGGACCGAATAACCCCTATGGGCCAAGTTTCGGGTAAATCCGTGATTTTGACCCCTTACCGCACTCCTATCGTAACTCCACCGGATGGTGCTGGCGCAGGAAATAAACATCACATTCGCGTTCGGCATGCCAAACAACCCCCCTAGACGAAGTTTTAGCGAAATTCACGGTTTTCATTTTTTGGGTCAACTTATGTGGAATAGTACCAATTTTCCTCCATTTTTGATTGTCCGCTTCTTATTATAAGGCTGCGTTCATACTGATCCCGAAGTTCGGGAACAGTTCCAGCACAGCGCTCAAAGTTAGCGTTGTGCTGAGACTGTTCCCGGATTACGAAATCAGTATGAACGCAGCCTTAGAGTGGATAGAACATGTATAAAAATATTGCAATCTGTTGTTGAGATCACGACCTTTTTTGCGCAGTCCGGATTGGACTCACTCTGCACACCAAGAAGACAAGGCCTTATGGTGGACAGGTTGGACAGATAGGATGTCAGTATGGTATGCAAATGTAGAGCAGTGGCTCTGTCCACTCACATGCTTGTCCAGTCACGAGAAATATGGCCTAAGCGGGATTCCAAATTTGTCAGTAAGTTCATCAGCTTCATCCGTGGCAGAGTTCTGGCAGTAATACCAATCCAAAACTATGGTTTACATGTCGCTAAATGTGGTTTTGAGGCGATACCTTCCTATCAAACGAGAGTATCGCATTCACTAAGTAACAGTAATCTCACTAAATCCGCTACGAGAAATTTTCGCAACGGACATCGCAACAAGGATGAACATCTACGACTTGTAGGCTTCACAATTCACGCTCATTGTCTGAAGATGACTAGTAAAGCGATTTGGAAATATAGAGTTGCTGTGCTGTTTAGTCTGTTTTCCCTGGTAGGATCACGTGTTGTGTAGCCTCTTTTCCCGCACTAGTCTTGAACGGATAGTGGGGTTTTATATAGCAATGTGCAAGCATTCCACATCCATGAGATTGGCGCTATTCTAACATCCCCTCCTCAAATTTCAAAGCTGTGATTTTTGCTGGAACACAAAAGATGGGCATTCTCCCGCACGTTATTTACGATTTTCCGACAACTCACTTTTTTCTTGCATTGTGTGTCGGGGTCAAAACCACAGACTTGGCTTTGATTGGTCTAAGAGGGTTATCTGGTATGCTAAACACAAACAGCATGCTTATCTTTGCATAACCAGGCTTCTTCGTAGAGTTCTGGAAGGTGTACGGATTTGCCGTGGACCTCGTCCTTTTCGGGCAGATGTGCCTATGCTAGCTGATTACAAAGTGATGAACAGTGGTGATGGGTACTGGCATGGTGCTAACTCTTTCTGCATATTTGCAACGCCAACCAAAAACGCGCTTCAATGATCAGTTTCAATGCGACGCGGACTGCGGCGCGTACTGAGCCGACGGTGACGAGCGGCGGGCCGGTCCTCGCTATTTTGGGGAAACCCGGACGAGTGCTTTTGATGTTATCGTCGAAAGCAAGTATTAACAGGTAAATGCTGTAAATTCAACTGTGTTGATCATGTGAAAACACGTCAAGGCTGAGGAGATTTCGTTCATAAGGGGTTGGCCGTCCGAACGCCCGTAAAAGGGCTCGGACCTGGGAGGAGTTGCAGGTGCGCTCCAACGCCATTCCGATTAAAGCACCGTTTTTTCAGCTGGAGCGCACTATCTCCAAACACTTCGCGTTTGATAAACTTTCCAAAGAGATGGAAGACTGGGGGGAGAGGGACCACATGCAAAATAATAGCACATTCTGCTTGCATGTACTTTTCCTCTTCTCAAGCTGTCAGGACACATGATCATACCCTTCGGCGTTCATGCTTAACTCAACAATACTTTTGCTTTGTGTTCATCTATATGTGACCTTTGTTTTGGTTCTTATTTTACCATACTCAGTAGAGTTGTGGAACAACACAGCTTTCGGTCCATCAACGAAAAAAAAGCTACGCTATAGGCTGGGTACATACTAATCCGTAAGTTCCGGAACATCTCAGCACAGCGCTCGAATTGTGCGTTGTGCTGGAGCTGTTTCGGAATTTGCGGATCAGTATGAACCCATCCATATTTAGCATCTACCCTCTATAACCTTTGCCTGCATTTACGCTTGAAACTCATTGTCAGTAACTCTGTCTTGAACTTCCGTTTTTGGGTTAATCTCCGCTGCTCTAACTTCTCTTTGAGTTCACACCACTTGAGGATCCACTTCGTGCAGCTTTTAGAAGTATCTTAGGGCTGCTTGCGCTAAATTGGGATGGGTTTAGCACTGGCTCAGATAATCGCCGGGGGCAGGCGGGCACCGGAAAAATAGATTGCTGATCTCTCGCACCCCGCTGGCGGATTTTTTGGAAAGCAATCAGGACTTTTCGGAAGACCGCTTGCTGAGTTCTCGATTCCTTAGAAATTCAGCAATATATCTGCAAAAGATAAGAGCGAAAAAAATTTAACAGGCGGTCTCTCAAAAATCCGCTGACTCAGCAAGCGGTCTTCCGAAAAGTCCTGTTTGCTTTGCAAAAAATCCGCGAGCGGGGTGCGAGAAATCAGCAATCTATTTTTCCGGTGCCCGCTTGCCCCCAGCGATTGTATGAGGATGTGACCCGTAAAAAGAGTTCGTGTGCGAACTCTTTTTACGGGTCCGAAAACATCCTTTACGATGTTGCTTTGTCTTTTTTTTCTTGAAACGACCTATGACTGTCTTGTAATTACATAACTTATCTCGCAAATATGAAATTCTTTCCTGAGATCTGCTGGCAATCTTATTAGATCGACGTATTCAAAGCAATGAGAGCCAAAAAAGGAATCGAATTGTCATTCAATTTTGCACGTGATAGCAATCGTTGCCTTTGTTATGAGCTTCAAAAGCGCTGCATAGCCGTAAATCATCGTTGCTAATGTTGTTCGATAAGCTTGTCGATGGTGCTAAGATTAAAAATTGAGGAAAAAATGGGTGGAAAACGGCAACTTTATGCTGGTGACCTTTATAGACTGTAACTGTTTCGCTAAATGGAAAAACCGGGATTTTTGCAGTTGGTGAATAGTTTTGAATGTACAAAATTGATTTGCCCAGATGTCAACCTCAGGAATTCTCTAGAAACAAAGAAATTTCAAAATTTGGTGCTACACTGAGTTAACTATGAAACTTTACTGGAATTGAAATTACTGAGAATTTTTTTTGAGCAAAGAGCTGGCCAATGTGCTGAACATAGAACTTGGCTTGCCGCCATATTCTCACTGAGCATCACTACGGGACAAAGTTCGTAGTTTTTCGTAGGACGGGTTCATAGGCACAAGCCGTAGGCTGCGTTCATAATCCGGAAGTTTGGGAACGTTGAAACTTGGAGCTGATCTTACTTGCCATTAGATCCATTGAGAGCATAGATATTGTATATATTCGTGGAAATACATGTGACAAGAGTCCAAACACATGTGGGGTCGGTCGAATATGCACAAAAAATCCAGCATGCTTGGAATTAATGTATTTTTGAGCCAAACATTCTCAAGGATTTCGAATTTCTGGCAGGCTTGTGGGTTTGTGCCTCAAAGTTGAGCAGAAAAATGGTTTGATGTTTCACAGAATTTTTTCTACGCATGAAATACACACAAACTGGTTATCGTAACAAAGAATTGGCAGTTTTGATCCTTTGACATGATTTGTCCACATTTTACCGTCAAATTTCCACAAAGATATTAAAGACTATACGTATACTCAAAGTTCATCCAGATCGGCGTGAAACGTGCAAGTGTTTGGAGATAGTGCGCTCCAGTTGGAAAAACGGTGCTCTAATCGAAATGGCGATGGAGCGCACCTGCAACTCCTCCCAGGTCCGAGCCCTTTTACGGGCGTTCTTGGCCGTCCGAGGGAAGTGGGCGTGGTCGTCGAGCTCGGATCTGCCTGGACGCTGCCTTTAACATGCTTTGTTTAATATGACGTACGATTTACTCACTTATATTTTTCCCTGACTTAGAAACTCTATCAAACCTAAATACAAATAGGTTTCTGCGATTCGGAAAAAAAGCTATTGGCCAAAGTGACCATTCGAATTTCGCCAAGTGATCGAGCAAGCGTATTATCAAATGCTTATTCAAATCCAGCGTCTAGGTCTATTGGACACTTTTTTGAAAAAGGGTAGTTACAGACGCAGATAATTTCCTGCAAAGAAAATGCGATCTTCCTCCCGTATAGGAACACGACCATACTACCATACCACTAGAACCTAGAGTTCGATGATGCTACGCTATACCAATTAATTTCAAAAAATATGTCAAAATTACAAGTTCAAGTTCTGCATTTATCAATTAACGAACATCTGTGAATGATCATTTCGAGTGAAATTTTTTCTTTGTCGAGAAAAGTGGCAGGCTTAAAAGCTAGAAAAATTACAAAAACATCTGCGGTAACTTAAACAAAATAAGAATTTATAATGGAAAGAGAACAACAGTGTGATAAAATGGAGAGTATTTCAAACGTCTTCCTTACAATTACAGAGGGACACTTCTCTCTCCTGGAAATGCGCCGAGGGAAATAGCTATCAAGAAAACATGGCCAGGTAGCGAAGTCTTTCTCGTTAGAACGCTGCAGCTACGATACGTTTCTAGAAAGCAGAGACCGAAATTTCGAGATGATTTTTCTCACTGGGATTAGCAGAGAAAAGCACAAAAACATTGTTCAGATGATATATGCGTTTTCTAATAAGAGAGACGATCGGGTAAGTTGGCGGCTTTCTATTTTTGATTTTAAAAGTGGCCTGCGTCGCTTTCAAGGAATTGATTGTTTTGATTTTTGATGATGTAATGGCAATAATCGATTTGTTTTCAAAAATTGAGAAAGAGGCGCTACGGATTTTGAGCAAAAATGAAGCGTGCTTAATGGGTGAAATACCGGAATTGTAGGCATTGCCAAAGGTTGCCCTCGAATGGACCCTTATCGAATGGTGGATTTAGGTAGTGACTCCAAGTCCACTGTAGCCCAAACCTCACCTTCCAATTCATGCGCTGATCCTGAAAACGCGCTCAAACTTCCACCAATGACGCCCATTCAATGGAAATAGTCGGGACTGGTGGAATTTTGAAGCGCATTTTTCAGCACTTAGCGCATGAATTGGCAGATGGGGTTTGGGGTACAGTGTACTTGGGGGGGGGATTTACTATCCAAATCCACCAAAATCCGAGAAGAGCTCATTCTGCTGACCACTGCCCGAGGCTTTCTGGTGTTGATTATGAGTGTTTTTGAAGCGAAAACTGATAGCAAATCTAGATAGTAATGGTTATGGTCCTTACAGCGCTCAAATAAAGGATCGTTGAGTACGAGTATATTGGAAAGGTTTTTCATGCATAAGGTGCCCTGATATCAAAAGCTGGGCCATTTGCGCAATCTTGGACGAGTCTGTTCCAGTTGCGCGTTCAATTTTTTGAGCAAAAAAGCACATAACTCAGCGTCTAGAGGCACTTAGCACAGGGCCCGGCAAGGGGCTTACTTTCCGAGAATGCAAGAAACGAAGCCCCCAACTTTTCTTAAATTCTACGAAATTCCCTTTGACCCTTAACCATAGACGAAAGATATCCTCGAAAAACGAAACGTCGACTAAAAAGACGTGACCCAATGTGTGTTTTTTCGGCCACAAAAACGATATGCGGTTTGCTTGTAAGCCACCTGTGCCGAGACTTGGCTTGGCAGATGACAAAGACAGTTATAGAATCAGCGTTTGATGCTTTTCAGACGGGTATACACTTCATTCGAAAAGAGGTTTTCGACTTTGGGTGCCCCCTAATCACCCTAAAATCTCACAGATAAGTCCTCCCGTAAGTCCGTCTACAGATAAGTCCGCCGTCAGATAAGTCCGCTTTCTTTCCATTATAACTATCTTGAAATCTTGTCAGAGAAGCTCGGACTTATCTGCAGGCGGACTTGTCTAATGGGAGGACTTATCTGCAAGATTCTTGGTGGTGCAAGAGTGCATTATCATCGATTTTTCTTGTCAAAAAAGCTGATTTATCTGTAAGATTCTAGGAAGAGTAAAAATTGGATACGAGGACAGATTAAGATCTGACGAACTCGATTTCAAAGTTTGGAACTCAATATGTAAGCCGCACATGCGCGCCCAACTGCGACACCCCTCGGTTAACCCTTCTCACAAGGGAATGGTCAGAAATCGAAGTGGCCAATCCATACAAGCTGCATACCGTTCGATGCAGCACAGAATGCTGATTTTAAATCTGTCTTCCCTATCTGCAGAGCGCTCTTGTGTACGAAATTATAAGTCTTTGAAGGCCTTTATTTTGCTGAGAAATTGTGCGTGTAAAGTGCAAACTTGGCCGTACAAAGCCATCCTCGGCTCAGTGTCGGACCGAAACGTGCAAGTAGATCACTTCATATGACCCATACCTAGAAGTGAGCTCAAAGAGTAATAATGTGCCTAACTTCACAGTTTTTGTTTACAATTTTTTCGCAGTAAAGCTGCCCATAACTTCGCCTACAAAGGCGCTCTGCAGATAAGGAAGACAGATTTGGAATCAGCATTCTATGCTGCATCGAACGGTATGCAGCTTGTACAGATTGGCCACTTCGACTTCTGACCATTCCCTTGTCAGACGAAACAGACTGTGGAGATGCACTAGGTTCTGATACTTATTCACTTAAACCAAAAAAGAATAAAATAAGCGTATATTATAGAAAATCAATAAGCAACTTTACAATTCGTGAAGTGTTGAGCGATACCCAAATTAAGTCGCAAACGTCTCTACGATATCTTTCTTGACTATCCTACCTTGCCTTATAACGGAGTTTCATTCTTGGTTCTCCGTAGTTTTGGCCTCATTGTTGCCCTGATTTGGGGTGCCTGAGTTGATAGGTTGATACTTGATAGGTTTGATTTCGCCTTCAGACAAGCTCACTTTTACTAGTCTACCTTCCCTTGTGCAAACGTACATGACTTCATTATGCTGCAGCCTTTGAACTTGGAGACGGTAATAGTATAGAACTGAATTTTCTTCAAATGTATTGCGGATATAAATGCATATCGTCTTCAGTCTTGATGGCTGCCATTATAACATAAGCACTCAAAGTGAAAAATCAGTAGTTTAGATATGCGAGTCATTTGTTTTCGATTTTATGCCTGATACTCTTGGATCTCTCATCGACAACAATGCACTAGACTTTGTCGATATAAAAGTTTATACTTGGCAAATGTTTAATGGCTTACAGTACCTTTGCCAGGTCGTTTGAATTTCTGTACTTCAACGAATTCTTCATTTACTTAGTTTTTCTTTAGCTACAAATCATGCACCGAGATATAAAACCGGTGAATATTCTTGCCGATCATCAACAAGGACTTCTCAAAATTGGGGATTTCGGTTCTGCAAAAGTTGTTAGGCCGGGAATGAGTTCAACACCATATCAGGTATCCTCGACTTTTAGGAGTACAGCGGGTGGAGCATTACAAAAGTTTGATAATGTGTACATGTGGCAATTTTCAATTGTGATAGAGTGCGAAAAGCTATGGTTCAAAGTGAAGCTTCAACAAGTTCACCGATTTCAAGTGTCTGCAATGCTCCGCCTACTTGCCTGCCGGCAGTTGTATCAAAATGGTGTGGATATTTGACCCGCAAAATCTCTATGTTTGTAGGTAACCAGATTTTATCGTCCTCCGGAGCTGCTACTTGGATCTGAAAACTATAACTGGACAGTCGGTATGAGACTAATGTTAGGATGTTGCTTAGAAAATGCAAGTTTGTTTTTTTACAGATATATGGTCCGCGGGATGCGTATTAGGTGAGATGGTAAAAGGAAATGTGCTGTTTCCTGGGAGAGATACAAAACATCAACTCAAACTGATTCGTCGCGCACTTGGTAGTCCAACAGAAGCAGACATTAGGTGGTCTATAAACAGCTTCTAGTATCGGAAAACTAGTATGCATCAGCACTTTTCAGATCAATGAAAATCTCAAAACCACCTGATCCTTTGGTTGAAAGAGTTGCCGGTACCGGACTTGCTGCGGTAACACATTACATTCGCAAGTCTGAGCGTCTTGTCTGCAGCTGTTTATTTAGCTTCTTCCTTCCGCTCGGCCTGATGTTGTATATTTTCTCAGCAAGATACTTTTGTATAAACCTCGAGCTCGACTTGGAGGAAAAGAAGTGCTTCGCGATCCTTTTTTTGACTCTATATTTCGGTAATTCATTGTACACGAAATTGTTGTGAATTATGCCATAATTACAGGGAAGGTGCAAAAAGATCAAATGGGCAACTTATCTCTCGAATTATTACATCCGCTGATATAGCAGAGGCACATTCAATGTGAGTTCAGTAGTTGGAGATAATGTGTGTTTATCATGACTTTGATATAATAGTAGTTGCGCGTAGGTAGTGAGACACCTGTTCTTAGGTTGACTTCATTTTATAAGTTGTTTATACGTAGAATTCAGCGATGAGTCGAAAGTTCGAACGAAGTTGAGTTCAATATTAGTAAAAACAAAGCTCGACTTTAGTTGCGAAGACGACTCAAAGGATAGCAAAGAGACGAAGGTAAGAGAGTGGAAACTCTAGACAGAGTAGTTAGTTTTCTACGATATACAAAGCATTTTAGGGAAGTACACGCAGCGGCGAGTCTATTAATGGTGACAGGCGAAGGTCAAAGAGAGCAAAGAATGCTCGTAAAAAATCTATGATGATGGTCGCCCCTCGAAAATCCGGAACAGTATGTTCCTTTCTTGTACCCTATTCAATTAACGTCTATACGAAGATTCTAGGCAACAAATAGGAAGAAAAAGTCAATTATGAAAAGGTTTAAGAGCACACAATGAATGCCGAATACTTCAATTCCTATAAATCCACTCTTAAAAGCATCGAAATCAATAACACCTGTCAAACAGTTTTAATATCGTAGTTTGTATAGACTGTGGAACGTTATAGAAATAAATTTTTGAGAATAAACTAATGACGGATGGTCTAATTTTACCACGACCAGATGGCCGTTTTGTGAGCATAGTAAACAATCGCATACTCTTTACAACTCAGTTGCATATCTACCTTTATCAAGCCAGCTATTCTTTAGAATTTACCGACATATTTGGTAACAAAATTTTCATAGTAAACTGGATTATTGCCGAGCTGTTGCATTCGTTTGTGCAATCTTTCAGCAGCCGATTGAGTTGGTGTTAACGCTTCTTCGCTTTGTATTTCCGAAATGAAGAGGTGCAGCATGCAAATAGCACATGTCATCTACATAACTGGAGCAATATCAGGTTTCGCCCAAAATCAGTTTCACCCAAATCCACGCTTCAGAAAAGATTAGCTTAGGGTGTGTCAAAAGTAATAGAAACGTCTCATTGGAAATTTCAAATGTTTTAAGTATTTAGAAATATAGCTCATCTCTCAGGGCAGTTTATTTCCGCCGGTCACTTGCGAAGCTTCCCTGAACGCCGCGCGGAACTTCTAAAATGAAATGCCGCGGAAGTTCTGGAAAATTGGAAACTTACGCAGACTTGCATAGAGATTTTCGCAGAGCATCGTATTGGCAACATAGTTACCATAGAGGGAGTGACGGATCTTACCCCCTTCACTTTGAAGCCAAACTCCGGATGACCCCTTCACATGGGCTGAGATTGGTATTGTACTCTGAGAATATAAAATAAAAATCGTTATTAAAAGGTTTTGCAGACCAAACCTCAAACAACAAGTACACTCATAATTTTACAAAAGAAACGGCATTTATGTTTATTCTTATTATTTATTTACCAGTGCTTCACCTCTGCTTCGCAGAGGTTCGCACTGGCATCGTGAACCGTGGTAAACTCACTTTCTGAGAGCTTGTCTCTTAAATCATTGTTCGGTTTATTGCAACGTGAGCCGTAGTTAAAAATGAACCATACTCGCTATCTTAACCTCACATGATGTTTAGTATCGTAAATCATTCCTCACTGTAATTTTGTAACGGACAAACTCCACACAACTTCAGATTAAGCCGCTATTATAAGTCATGATAAAAAAAGCATCTACAGAAGCACAAACTCTTTCGAGTTCACCTACGGGGCTGGGAGTTGGCACAGGGGGTAATCGAGCATGGGGATTCCGAATACAATATTGGTTTTCAGGATTATCGATTACTTTTATCGATTTTATCGATTTTTTGCAAAGTTTGAGCTACGGGGCTGGGAGTTGGCACAGGGGGGTAATCGAGCATGCTGATCATCCCCAATGGGGGTGATCAACATGCTCGATTACACCCCTGTGCCAAATTCCAGCCCCCTAGCTCAAATTTTCAAAAAATCGATAAAATCGATAAAAGTAATGGACGATCTTGAAAACTAGTATTGTATTCGTAATCTGCATGCTCGATTACCCCCCCCCCCTGTGCAAAATCCCAGCCTCGCATGTCAAAATTTACAAAAAATCGATAAAATCAATAAAAGTAATCGATAATTCTGAAAACTAATATTGTATTCGGAATCCCCATGCTCACTTCCCCCCCCCCCCCTGTGCCAACTCCTAGCCCTGTAGGTGAACTCTGCAAAAAAATCGATAAAAATCGGTAAAATCGACATCGATCGATAACGAAAAGTGGACTGTGACACCCGCCGGGGCCCGAAGTGTATGTGTGCCAAGTTTGGTCCGGATACGGCGGAGCCGGGTAAGCCAGCTAGTTTTAATAATATAACCAACACTTCTTTGTTCAAAGCTACAACTCTTTTGGGTATATTGCGACGGTAAGTGAGGACACAAAATCAGTTAATTTTTGAAAAGTCGACGGTCTATGTCGATTTTCCATGATCTCAGCTTTCGAATGGTATACAGCATGTTAGGGCTTCTTTGCTTCCCGGCTCTAAAAAGCACTTGCTCCGGTGATCGATAAAAGCCAATACGTTGATGGAGCTGGGTGGAGCAAGCTAATAGTAAATATCTCCACCCCATTTTTGAAAACTGATAAGTTTTTTCGCCCAGCAACCTATATACCATTCGAAAGCTCAGGAAAAATGGATTCCACTTAGACCGTCGAATTTTTTTCTAGCCCCCCTCTACCGAGAGATACACCGCATTTTATCTGAAAACATGCCATTTTCAACAGCAGATTTCTGCCAAACGAAGACCTAATCACTGCTGATTATATCTGTGTTAAAGAGCAAGTCTTTATTAACGAACGTAAACCGTCGACTTTCTCGTAGCACTCAATTGGAGAGCAGAAAGTGAGACACAAAATCAGTTGATTTTTGATGTACATAAAATCCCTCATATCTCGCGACACAGAAGACCCAGAAAAAAGTCGATGGTCGACATCGATTTTCCATGATCTCAGCTTTCGAATGGTATACAGCAAATGAGGGCTTCTTTGCTTCCCGGCTCTAAAAAGCACTTGCTCCGGTGACCCATAAAAGCCAACGCATTGTAAGAGCGAGGTGGAGCAAGCTAATAGTAAAAAATGTGCTGGGAATTGACATCGTTATCAGCACTAATGAGAACGCGAGCGAACGCGTCTATTCAAGCGTGCTTATCGTTGTTATAAGTTTGTGTTTTTTAGTAAAAAATGTGCTTTTGATTGACAGTTGTACCATCATTATCAGCACATACTCAAAAAACTATGGGAGATTGGTGAATTTCCCCACCTTCCCACAAAAAAACGCCCATTTCTGGAATCTATACTCTGTAAACCTAGTGCTGAAGAAGGTCACTTTCGTGAAAACGCTCTAGACTCACCTAATTGTAAATGGTTAATTTCAATAAATCAAAAACTTCAAGGCAATCATTATTATTATCTAAAAACTTCATTTAAAGGATTGGCATAAGTGGTCCAGACAGGCTGTCATCGTATGATTTTTTGAAATATCCTAAAAGATGGTATGAAGAAACTGGTCACCTACCTGCTGACTTCCTGGTGCTACCAGAGGGCTAGGAAAAAATACAAAAGCGCTTAGAAGAAGAAAAACGCTTCAAATCCATTTTCGGCTCAGAAGCTTTTTGACGCAATTCTACTTCTAATCTGATGATCTTTTGAAGGAAGAAGAAGATCTTTCAGGCAGCGAATTTGTTGTCCTGACGTTAGCGATAGTGATATTGTTGATGGTGACGTGCAGGAATTGTGAGTTGTTCCTAACTTCTACATCTTTTGGGATATCTTATTGCTTTCGTTTTTTGTTGATGCAATGAAATAGGAGCACAGATCTTCATAAAGTCAATTTTTTTGATTTTTTAGGTTGAACCGAAAGTTCTTTCGCATCAAATTCAAAAACTCATAACTTCCGAATTTTCCAGCCTTGGAACGCTCTTATTTTTGTCTGAAAGAGTAAGTCATGCTCTTTATAACAACTTCTTAGATGCTTGCTAATGGTCATCTGTTGCGTAGATAGGAGCTGTAGAAGAAAATTAGTCAAAGTTCGCATTTTCTTTGTAGGGTCATAAAAAATCGAAAACTTGCAACAAAAATCGGAGCAGTCGGTATTGTAGATTCTTTCAGCAGCTCTTTCTAACAGTGCAAAGTTTGCGCCGATCGAGCGTCTCTATGAAAAGTTACAATTTCCCTGAAAAATGCCAAAATAAATCAAAATCGCCCTTTTGTATTGCTTGCTCGAAAATCGTAACTGATGATAACTAATAATAATATAATAATAACTAATAATCGTAACTTTTCATAGAGACGTTCAATCGGCGCAAACTTTGCACAATTAGAAAGAGCTGGTGAAAGAACCTACAATGCCGACTGCTCCGATTTTTGTTGCAAGTTCCCGATTTTTTATGACCCTACACAGAAAATTCAGTTTTTGACCAATTTTCTTCTACAGCTCCTATCTGTGCAATGGATGATCATTAGTAAGCAATTGAGATGTCTTTATAAAGAGCTTGTAATGAGCTTTATAATGACCTACTCTTTCATATTAAAATAAGAGCGGTCCAATCGGAAAATTCAGAAGTTATGAATTTTTGAATTTGGTGCGAAAGAACTTTTTAACCTAATATTATTTTTTTTGAATTCTAAAAAATTTTTTTTCAATTTGTACCTAAATAAGGTACAAACTAGAACTCTTTATACCACGCTTTTTTACCTTTTCTCTCTCCCTCCCCCCCCCCCCCCTTAGGCTCACATACCTCCTTCGAAGATCGGAAACAGCCGAGACCCCTTTCACCTGGAGAGAGCCCGGCTCCCCCTATCGTACCTATGATTAGCAATCTTCAATACTGTGCGTTCTTATTGTCGCCCTTACGAACCTGTATACTTTGTGTATATATACATCCTCAAACGGAACAAACCTAGATAATACCCTAATTTCCGGGGTATAAGGCGCAGTAGCTTTCGCCGCGCACGGACTGATGTGCGATGATATTCGCGGTGCCCGGCGTGGCATAAGCAGCCAATAGCAACCCTTTCACCCAGCAGTACTTTTTGCTCCCTTTCTTTGTTATTCTTCTCTCAATAGTGATCTGTTTCAAAACAAATCTCTTTCTTCTCTATTACTCTCTAAAAATAACAAAAGTGAAACAAAAACAGCACCTTCAAAATACCAGTATATTAGGTCATTCGAAAAGTTTTTTCGCTTTTTGCAAATTAGATGTTGGTGCCATATTTTAAGAGACTGCCAAAGGGCTGATAGGGGTTGCTATATATGGATCTGTAGGGGAATTCTCCTAGTTTTTGAGAATCCCACTGAGGGTGCAGAAAGCGCTTTGTAGGGAAGTTTACGCGGCTCTAAAGTCGACATAAGAAAACGCGATTTTTAGACAATTGCATTCTATAAGCTTAAACTTAAAGGTAAGATAGTTGAGGGAACCATCATTGTGCGCAATGCATTTGCCTAGGCCACGTCTTCTTTGAGGTAGGTTCAAGTTTACTTCAAAAACTCCAGGATTAGAGAAGTGAAAGCTAATGTTTTGCAGTG